GATTACTCAGGGAACAAAATCTATGATTCATTTGGGGCTCCCTCCTTCCTTCTCTACAGGTCTAAGATTCTATGTCCTCACTGAGAACTGCTTTAGGGGAAACTGAAACTCTTCTGGGGTTGTTAACCATATGAGTCTATAATTTTTACTCAGCTGTTTCTTGAAGTTCTCCAGCTTCCCCTCTAGCTTTGTCTTTTGTGCTCTCGTATTTCACATATGGATCAATAAATCTCAGAAAAATAAATTCAGAAAAATTCATGACTACATGCACTCACCTGCATATGCTAAGATATTACTAGATGCTACCCTGGATGATCTGCTGAATCAATCAGATATTGCCTTTAATACTGCCCTTTGGGTTGAGCCTTGATGTCAGAACAGATTTTCCTGGTCTCTGAGATATGATAGATCAGCACGTTCATGACTACATGCACTCACCTGCATATGCTCTTGAGGCACTCTTATGAGTCAAGCACTGCTCAGCTCAGGACAAAGCCTCCAGGAAGGGACTTCACCTGATGTGTCTAATGAAGGAGAAGGTGTGAAGGAATATGCCCTGCCAGTCTGACTCCCTCTATGGAGCACTCCAGAAGCAGCTCTGGTGTCCCCTCTTTATATCGATCGCTTCCTGCAATGAGCCATCTCCCACTTCTCTAAGAGTTTGCATCATGTCTGTAAAGAATAATTTGGTGTTATGTCATGTGACTTGACTCTCACAGAAAAAGATGATTTAAAATCAAGAGTAAATGGCAGGGCAGATGCAAGGGCAATGGCAATGAAAAGTTAGCGATGGAAACTTTACTGTTTTAGCATGATATTAATTGATGGTAGAAGTTAGCTGTTACGTAGATGGATCTCTTGCATCTGAGGGCAGTGGAAACCCATGTTCTTGGTAGGATAAATAGGAGTTCCCTGGGAGCTCATGTTTTGAAAAGTCACACAATGACATAACCTGCTAGTCCCATACTACCTGCTGTCTGTCCCACACCTATTGGCAGCATGTCAAAATGCTGCAGGCAGGTGGCTTCTTCCTTTTTGGAAAAGCCAGGGTGTCTAGCCTGGACAGACTTTTATTTCTGTCTGTGTGTGTGATAACACAAAAACTGACTCAGAGTATCTTCTGGAATTTAATCTATTTCAGCAGACATTTTGATCTCTGAATAAAAGCAAACATGAAATCACAGAAGGCTTGAATACAAACTGGAGAATTTGAAACTCTACTTTATCAGGAATCTAAATTAAAAACACTTAATAATGCACTGCAAAATGTAAATGAGAGGAAATTCCTCTCTGGGTTTGAACTTTGAGCCCCGGGCTCTGTGTTGCTTTTGCGAAGTGGGATGCAGTCTGATTAGCTTTTATCCTTGCCTCTCCTCACTTGTGAGCTGTTCTTTGCCTCTGCTGAAAATGGAAGTGAGACAGAATGCCCCAAGTCTCTCTGCAGAGGGTTTACAGCACGATTTTGCAGACATCATGCAATGCAGGCATGAATCACAGAACTTCCTTTGAAGTTCTGCTGAATTCTATTCCCTGGCTCTTTCACCTGACTTGGAACAGGCTACAGAATTATTTTTTCACTCTAAGCAATAACCAATTTTCTCAAGAGATGAGCATTTGCTGACTCTTGCTGCTATTCTTATGCTCAGAATTGTGAAGCCCTTGGTGAACAAGGCTAGGTCACGCATTTGTGTACAAACCAAGGCTCAAATCTGGCTTGGATCCTCTCTTCCAGCTCAGCAAGTGATTGACATGTTCACTTTAGCACAGCTTCCTCTAGAGAAAACCCGAGGGCTGTGCCAAAGTGCTATGAGGCGTTTGCTGTGCATTCAACCACACACAAGATTCTGCAGCACCCTTGAGACAGGGGTGAGATGAGGACAGGCAGCCGTGAGTCAGAGCTGCTCTGCATTTTGATCTTGATGATAGATAATACTGGTGATCTTTTGCATTATTAGTGCACTCTGATCCAAATTAAATCAATGACAATAACAGTCCTTTGTTATTGAAGATATCTGAGAGAAAGTACTAACCTAGTACAACTTTTCAATTCAAATTCGGGTATGGCTGAGGTTGTTCCTGTTCAGCCCATAATAGTTTAAGGTGTTCATTCTGAAAAAAGCACTATTTAAAAATGGAAAAGTCCACATTATGGTCCTAAAGCTCCAGCACCTGCTGTCAGCCACAGAAATAGTTTTGCTCTTCTCTGTAGAGCTCTGGCATCCTTGTATTTCCAGAGCTGTTCCTCAGCTTGTCTCCCATCTCCCAGAGTTGGACAGGGTGGGTTTCAGGAGCTGTGGCTCTGTGTTGGGAATGGGAGCTGTGCAAAACAGGTGAGCGAGGGGGAAAAAGGAGAGGTGATGATCTGATGGTGCTCTGCACACCCGAGGTGAGAAGGCTGTTGCTAAGGGATGGATGTTCTTAGTCAGTGCATTATTCTGATCTGCTGATTAAGGAGAGGTTTCCTGTTTAGGTGTCATTTGGATACAACTTACTATTTTAAATGGAAGAAAAAAAAGTCATAGCTGAAAGCGGTCTTCAGTTTAATTTACTTTTTCATAATATAAAACCTCATGCGGATCAGCCTCTGAAAATGGCCCTGACTTTGATAACTGGCAAAAGCACTTCTAAATTAAAAGTCTCTCTTCTTTTCCCATTAGTTACTCACCTAAGAAAAGCACCTGGCATAACCTGGGTGTTTTGCTCTTGTTTTGTTGCTGTGAGACAAGAGCTCAGTCCAAAGGAAGATGACAACCTACACACCCTGTCCCCTGGGAACTGCTACTGTGGGTCTCTGTAGAAACCAGTGCTTCTCTGAAGGCTTGCCAGAACTACCTGAGAATTTGAAGAGTTAACTCATGAGATCTAGAAGATAAAATAACTGAAATGAGGGTCAAATGTCCATGGAAGAAGTGCTTTTGTCTCCTCAGCAGATGGTGGCAGGTATATCATGGGCTCCCCTATGCAACCTCCACCATTTTCTCCTTGGTCAGAAAGCAATGATGTTCCTGCTGCAGAGGACATGGAGGTGGAAATATGTGGAGAAGGGCAATACACAGCTGGGGTGCATCCTGTCCCTGAAATACCAGGTGTCATTTCAAAAAATGGTGTTCCCTGCCAGCTGAGGCAGGGCATTAGCAGAATTTGGGAGCTACCTGAACTAGCTCTAGTGCAATGCTCTGATTCAGTCCTAAAAGCAAGAGTTTGTAAAAAAGGGAAGAGCTAAGTAGATTATTTAAGGTGTGAAGAGAGCAGTGGGCAGCAGACCTGCTAGGGTCAGGTGGCTTGTTGGCTTTGTGCAGTAATCATTGGCATCATTTATGGCATCTTGTAGATTGCCAAAAGTCACAAAGAGCAAGAAGCATTGTGGGTTTTCCTGAGGGAAAGGGAACAGCTGCATTGCCAGGGGCAAGCAGTTTTAGAGACAGGGACTGAGGGCGTCAAGGTGGACCCCACACCGAGTCACCCTTGGGGCTGCACTTTTCATATCAAAACTACTATGTTTTTCCAGAGTAGCTGTGGCTACAGAGAAAGTGTTTCCAGATGATTTATGGAGCTACTGCAGTCAATACAGTCATCCATAATATATAAGCATGCATGTATATAAATACATAAGCATACAAGCAGCATGAGGAGAGGGGATAAGTATGCCAGAGGTCTGGTTACCTGACAGAGTTGGTTCTTACATGTGCCACAGTTGCCACACACACAGGAGAGGGGGCAGCTCTGATGTCCTAGCTGCATCAGAAGCCACTACCAGACTCAAAAGAGAATCTGCTTCATGTTAGCTTAATGAACCAGTCATGTCATTGCACAGTGACAAGTGAATAATGCTCAGTGTCCTCGCAGCACTTGACAAAAATAAGATTTTGGTCACTCTGAGTTATTAAAGATGCATCTTTCCTCCAGGCTAGCCCCTGGTGAACTGTAAATATACCTGGAACCAGGCAGATTCCACTCATAGCCTGAAAACATCATTTATAACAGCTCAGCTCTGCAGCCAATCTAATAAATGTTTGTGCTTTATAGCAGGGCTAATTATCTCCAGCACAGCACTGCCCTGGCATGGCTGTACTGCTTCCTGCTCTAGAATTAGCTTAGCTGTTTGGGTGTCTGCACTGTCCTTCACGGTGTGGTAGAGACGAGCCCTGAGCTGTGCTTGGTGGAGGAGGGGCATATGCATGTACTGGACTGTAATAGCCCTCTGCTTTTAATGTCATGGAAAAGTGATGGACCTCACAGCAATGAAGTTGCTGAACAGCTATTTAAAATCGTCATCCTTTGACTTGGGTGAAGTTGTGGCCACCTTGGACCTAATATTGCAGCTGCAAACCCTTGTCTATTCTGAGAACAGTGCTTGACAGTATATGCATCTGAACAAAATGTTGACTAGTCTGCTCAAACTTTTTTTTTTCTCTTCTATAAAGCAACCACTGTTGTCATACCAAAAAGTACTGCATGATATTTGTCTTGCCTATGGGAGGAACAGATTTGTCTCTAAGAACTCATTGCATAAGTATACCTGCCTAAAAACTACTACTTAAAAAGAAGCCTTGGGAAAGGTTATGTAAAATGGTGTGCAGAAAATATTTCGGGAGTCTTTAACTTAAGCTCTTAAAATCAGCTGAAATAAGGAAGTTGGTCAAATTGGCCTAGTATTAACTATTTAAGTAAGAAGACATATGAAGAATCAGATATCCATCTACCCTGTAGCAGTTAGGTCTGTGTAGTTTCAGGTCTAGTAACCTGAAAGGTGTTGTATTGAGAGGATCAAATGAGCTTTTCTTTTTCTTTTTTTTTTTTCTTGGCTGAATGGCTGCCAGCTGTACAGATACAGTGCCCACTTCTATGAAGATTCTCTGTTTGCCTTGAGACAACTTCAAAATTATTCTTGACATTGCAGAAGTTGCTCTGAGGAAGGGAGATGGGTGATAGAGTGTAGGCCAAGGTCCAGTGTTTCTTTTCTTCTAATGTTTTCAAATGCATTTTTTCTCTTACTGTAGTACTGGATAAATGAATACACTTCAACCCTGGGGATTGGTGTCTTCCACTCTGGCATCGAGATCTACGGCAGAGGTATGAAGTATTTTCTTTTCAGTATCTGTAGAACCTAGAGACAACTTCATGGCCAATGTGATACAGAAAGGCTCACAAATTTATAGCTTTTGGCAAGAGATGTTTTGAGGAGTGAAAGATTCAGCCAATTCTCTTTCAAAGTCCAGTGCTGAGTCCAGCTGGAACTCCTGCAGTTTTATCATGAATGTGTAACCTTTCTTATTTATACCCTGTGACTCTAGCCTCTAGAGCTTGTGCAGACGTGTAGCAGAATGGCAGATAAGAGGGACCAAGCAAGCTGGAAAGATGTTCTGCAGTGAAGGAGGGGAAGAGAGAAGTTGATTCTTATACTGAGTCAGTGTTAGGTAAATCATTCTTTACCCATGTCCTATGATATGGAAATTTTGGAACTGGATTTTCAGATTTTGAAAACTGTCATTCTGAAACAGCAGAACTATAAGGGGAAGAAAGCTCCTCATGAAACTTTTAAAATGATATAAGAGGAAAGATTTGACATTAACAAGTACTGAACTGAGCCAAGCTTCCTGAAGAGATCAGAAATGTAAAAGTCAATCAGTTCATGTATGGAACGGAGATAATGTTGACTCTATGCATTGATGTAGAAGTCACTTGCCTTCACTTTAGAAGTCACTTGCCTTCACTTAGGAAAGGCAGAAGTATAAGCATAGGCAAAAGCAAAGGTATAAAAAGGCCCAAGGAGGTATTGATATTGGCTCTTATTAGGAGTATCATGAGGAAGTTCAGCCTCAAGATCTGCTGTAGCATTGCTGAATTTGAAATTGGTTTAGGGGCAGGGGAGATTTGTAAAAAGATAAAACATGGCCTTATTGCAGCTGCCTGTGATTGCTTGAAAGCCCAAAGGCCTGGCTAAATCACTAAATTAGAGTAGCTAAAAAGAAGCAGTGCTACACAGTGGTGCAAATTTAGAGTGACATGGGTAAATTGACCCAAGTGCAGTCAGTCTGGGCAGGAGTTACTCTCAGTCCTGGTGGGAAGAAAATGATCTTACTGTTAGGAGGGGTAAAGGTGGGTTGAGGAGGAAAGAGGACTCTTGTATGTTACCATATTGAAAATATGTGAAAAGATGACCCAGACTGTGCAAAGGTGCTGACTGAATCTGAGGGAAGAAGGAAATGTTTTCCCTCAGGTCAGAAAGGACCACTATGGAATTCTCTTCACTATTTTTTTTTCTCATAAGTTCTGCTCTACACTGATAGAAACAGGCTGGTATCTTCTGAAGAACCTTTGAGTTGTTGCTCCTAATCAGTGTGGAAATGACCCGTTTCAATACGGCTCCTTTGCTGGGGCTATGTCACTGTGATGAGCAGTCAGGTCATGATGGGCTCCAGGGTCACTGGGTTATATGAATCCCTCACAGGAAAAGGAGACAAGGCTCACCTCCCTGCACTACCTGAGCACATGTTTGCATATTTAGCCTAATTCCAAACTGTAGTGGAGTGATGAGCCTGTTTAGCCTAGAGGAGACTGTGAGGGGATCTTATCAACATGTACAAATACCTGAGGGTAGAATGTAAAGAGGATGGGGCTAAACCCTCCTCGGTGGTGGCCAGTAATAGGACAAGGGGTAATGGGTATAAATTAAAACACAGGAAGTTTCATCTCCATATGAGGAAGAACTTCTTTCCTGTGAGGGTGACAGAGCACTGGAACAGGCTGCCCAGAGGGCCTTCTTTGGAGTCTCCTTTGGAGATCTTCAAAACCTGCCTGGATCCCACCCTTTGCCATGTGCTCTAGGATGTGCCTGCTTGGGCAGGGAGGTTGGACTAGATGATCTCTAGAGGTCCCTTCCAACCTCAACTATTCTGTGATTCTGTGGTGAGGGATCTCTGAGGGCATGTTGCGTCACCCCATTAGAGCTGTTCGTCTGCAGAGCTGCTTTTATCCCCTCACCGCTTGCTCGTTAAATTGAGAAGAATCTCAGTGTGGCTCTCCATCATATTTCGGTGCTTAGGAAAGATAGCCAACCTTAATATGACAAAACAAAACCTGATATCATTTGAGATGGCATTGTTTTAATTGCAGACAACTGCACATTGAAAAAAAAACTTAGTAATAATGTTGGTGACTGTGGTGAGCAGGCATGACCATGAGAACAGATCCGTAAAAAGTAGAAGACTCTGTAGAAGTACCACTACCTAAATTTTCCAAGTTTCCCAGTATGATAACACAGTCCTATCTACTCTGTATGGGAAAGACTGAGCTCTTGATGAACCTCTTAAACCAGACTCCTGTATGGACAAGGACAAAGTGCAAGAGCAAGATCCTGGGGAATCCAGGAAGGTCCTAGCCCATGGTATATTTATGGTAGTTTTAGATCTACATCAAATTCTGCCGATGGCATCAGGAAAAATAGGGAGCTGAATCAGTTCCACAGGAAAGGACAGGAACCTGCAGCTCGTTGTTACAGAGTGTTCTTGGTGTGTCAAACCCCAGCTGGAAAGTGATGTGTTCTATAACCACAGCAACATGCAAGATGCTTGAACGATGTTTGCAAGGCCTTCATCATGGCATTGTCAACCCACTCTGACCCTTACAAAAGTAAAATCTCAGCAGATGCCTTCTATACCAGAGATTTGTCATGCTGTATTTGGGGTGAATCACATCACAGATTATGGCTGAGTGAAAACAAATTTGTGATATTTCAGGCTTTCTTTAGTATGGTGCTGTATCTCTGTCTTCAGATGGGAAGCCTAACTCTTAAAAATATGGGATGAGAATGGATATTGGAAAATAGCAGCTGTTGCATGGTGTTAAAGTCGATTCAAACAGTCAAGGAGTCTGGAAAAATGACTGTAGTGCAGTGAAGCCAAAGGACAGAATAGTATCACTGGCTTTCAGTTTCCTTCAGCATTACGTAGGAATAGCTTGGGATATCTCACTTGTGTTACTTTTGGCTGGTGCTACTCAGAAAATAAAAGTTCTGGAGTGCAAAGTTGCCTCTTGAACACAGAAGTTTTCACAGGTGATGTGAGTAGCTTGTAAAGGCTATCACAAGGCACGCTGAGGCCTATAGACTTGAGTCAGGTGCTGAAGAAGTGCAATCACTTTTCTGCACAGAATTTTCAGCAATTGTCTATAGATCCCTCCGGCAGAGGACTGACTTCTACCTACTCGAAAAGGACATTTCTTTCAGCTAGGTATCAACACTTACATCCTCCAATAGTATTTCTAGATGCTTTCACTGTAGATCTCTTCACTGTCAGGAAACCATTTGGACAGGCACAAATTTGGAGACTCAGAGTTTTACAGGAATTGTAGCAAACCAAGATTATTAGTATTGATGGAGTCTGCTCTGGCACGAGGTTGTGAAGGTATGCTCAGGCTGATAGGTAACTGGATGGAGAAAATTATTTTTGGAGCCTGGCTGAAACTGATTTTCGGTGATAGCCTAGATACTGCTGCTGATATGAAGCCATGCAACTGCCATAGATGGGGGGGTGGGTTTTTTTTTTTTTGTTTGTTTGTTTTGGTCTTTTTTTTTTTGGTGACAAAACCTTCATTCTTCACTCACAATACTTTTCTTTCCTTGTCAGAGTTTGCCTATGGAGGGCATCCTTACCCTTTCAGTGGGATTTTCGAGATCACACCTGGCAGTGCGGTAGAACTTGGCGAGACCTTTAAATTCAAGTAAGGGTGCTTTTCCACATCCTCTCCCACTTTGTAACCTCCCCGGTATGAGGAAATCCTCTCCTCTGGGTCCAACTTATGAAGGTGTACACCAGATGGGGAACAGTGCCTTCAGCAGAGTTTATAAATTAAGGTAGTTCTCTTCCCCGTTATGTTTGTTTTCAGTGTTTTGAGTTTTCCATGTCAGTCTGAATGGGAATACAGTATGTTATGCAGAGCTAGAGTGTAGGAAAATAGAGCTAATTTTTCTTTGAGTACCACCTATTTATGGATATTGCACAGAGAGGTAGTGGAAGTCACGTCCTGTGTTTATTACTACTCTATCATAAGGAACAGAGTAGTTAAGAGAAGGTCACATTAAGATACTATTTAAGGTGCTCAGTCTTTGGGATTGTGTTTCGAGAAACTGTTGATGGGAGACGGTGTCCCTGGCAGCTGGCACAGACTGCCAGTTGACATGAGGGAGTGTTGGAAACTGTCTCCTAGCAGATTGGACGCTGTTGAGTGACTATTGAGAGAAACAATAGGCTTAAGATATATGTTTGTGCACTAAGTTCTCAGCTTGACTCTTCCTTGCCCCTACCATGAAAAATTCTCTACATCATGCATCATGGGCACTTCTGTTCTACTGGAAGTTTCTGCTGAGAGACTAAGGGCAAGGTGGGAAGCAAGCAGACCTCTAGAGCAGAGGCTTCCCAGGTGGTGAGTAGGAAGCTCTCGGGCTGTTGCTTGAGCTGTATCTGCTTTGTGGATAATTTGAAGATACAGGTCACCATTTTGTTAGTTAGGGTTGTTAGCTTCAGGTATGCATGCCCATGTTTTAAGCCAAGCCTTCTTACCAGTGCCTTGTTATCTTCTATTGCCTGGGTCCAGCATCTTCACCATATCTTTCCATGTCTCCTGTTGTGTGTTTTGTTTTCAACTAGAGAATCCATTGCCTTGGGCACCACAGACTTCACAGAAGAAGATGTGGATAAAATTATGGAAGAGCTGGGCAAGGAGTACAAAGGCAACGCGTACCATCTGATGCACAAGAACTGCAACCACTTCTCTGCTGCTCTTGCTGAGGTTGGCACAGCTATTCTTTCTGTATCTTTGCTTCTTGAAGTCTGCAGTAGTGCTCACAAAAGGGGAACTGCGCCACAGCCCATAGTTGGATCTACTGTTTCTGCCCTTAGCTGTTTTGGAAGCCCTTTGCTATTTAAAAGTATGGGGTGAGGATGGTGGAAATGCAGCAAGCTGATTGCAGGTTTTCTTTAAACAGAAATGAGGAATGTCTGCATTTTGGCTCACTGAAAAGGCTTCCGAGCAGGAACTGAAATGTCAGGTCTGTCTAGCATGCAAATGCACATATGCAATAGTACGAATAACTCTATATGATCTGCAAAACCCTCTAATGGCAAAGGAACAAAAATGACTTATCAATGTTCTGATACAAATTTGCAATTTTCAGGAAGTGTCCTTTTTTGACATATATATATATATATATACATATATATATAAAACATCCAAAAGCCATAGAAAGTAGGGGGGAAAATGTATTGGAAAAACATAGATTTTTTTTTTCCTCTGTTGCTTACGCATATTATTGGTCAGAGGACCATTGTGAATTATACCAGAACAGTCATAAAGCTGAATAGAGGCTATTTAAACTCTTCAAGATGGAAAAACTTACGAGTAGAATAACCTTTAAAAAGAAAAAGAAAAGCTAAAATAATTAGTTTCTGCCATAATGTGTCTTGTAATTTCCTTGCTGAATATCCTGCTTTTCAATACAAGTAGTGCAAGATAAATGGTATGGCAGAAGTTACAAACTGCTGTAAAATAGGTGTGAAAGAAATCCACCTGTGCCTTTGGGAAAAAGCCTAACTGAGTAACTCCTCAGCTAGCTATAAGTTTCCCTGCAAGGAGCTTTAGGTTTGAGGACCCAACCATGCCAATGCTTTGCAGGAATGTTCCTCACTACAGCCATGAGCAACACAGAAGTGTGCTGGGAATAATGTTAGAGACCAAGAAAGACATGGAGTCCACACACTGTCACCAAGGAGCGTCACCACCAGGCTGTTCGGGCACAGAGAAGGGTAGGTGCATGCAGACACAGGGAATCGTGAAACAGCTTGCCAGAGAGGCTCTTTTCAAAGCAGGAGCGTGGCTCATGACTGCGCTGCAGATCCAAAGTAAAATTTGAACTCGTAGATGGATACTAGGCTAGGCCAGGCAAATGCACTCTTGTAAGACTTGCACCTCCAGATGTAAATGTGAAAGGTTGGCTGTCGGGGTTCAGTGTGAGCGTATAAGAACACAAGCCCTGCTGGTGCACAGACATATGGTGAGTGTACAGTGCCTGAGTCCCAGCTCTTTAGAGAAGCAGCAGTTTGCAACAATGCTTGGATAACAGTAGCTTGAGGATCAGAGGACGATCAGAGTAGTTTTCTTCTATGAACGTTTTCTGCTCCAGGTTCTTCAGTTTGGTGATGCTCTTCAGTACCGGGTGACGATCATACCATGCCACTGATTGAAAGAGTCTGAAAAGTTATAACTGCTCAGCCCATGTGCAATCTGAAGACCACTCATTTGTCTTTCCATCAGCAATTTTCGATGCTTCTTAAGTTTTCTGTCCTAGGTAAGCCACGGAGCCCCATTCTTACCAGAGACAGTTGCTACAGCCTTTTTCAGGAAAGGGCAACTCAGAACTGTGGGAAGGGAGGAAATCACCCTTGAATCAACACTCAAACTGGAAGATAGGTAGAATGACTCAAGGAAATCACTCTTCCTCCCTTCATCAGTGTGATTAGTGTCAAGCAACTGGAATGATGGCTATATAAGGAAACTCTTCAGCACCTTGCTTTGAGCCACAGGAGACAATTATCAAAGAAGTGCAGCTTTCAGGCACCAGAGAAGATATCCCCTTTTATTCCCCTGTAGTCTTAATGATGATGAATCAGCAATAATGTCAGTGGGCTTCCTGGAGTCTTTTGACAAAATATGAAGATAATGCTCATCATAATTAGGAAATGAACTGAGAAGCACTGATTGACTCACTTTGAAGACTGTTGGAACTTTACTTGAGAACTGCAGCAACAGAAGGACACTGTTTTACTCTTTTATTTCTACTCACTGTTCTTGAAAGGGGCATGATTTTTTTTTCTGATCTCTATGCATAATTTAGATACTACAGAAAAGGTCATAGCCCTCAGTATCTCGTAGAAGTTTCTCAGCCTGGAGTCACTCATTTGTCTTGCAGCTGCTGTAAAACTGCTCTGCATATATATTAAAGAAGAATGCTGACTCTCTGTTAATAGGACCAGTTTGAGTCCCTAAGATCATGGTCCCTAGCAGGCCCCAGGACAAAGCATGGATCAGAAATTCTTGAGTGAACTGCAACAAATTCCACTTGAGTCAGTAAAAGGTGAATTTGGCTGCAGGGCTGCTAAGTGACCTCAGGGGTAGTGAAGCAGAGTTAAATGTCCCTATTCAGTTCCTAAATGATCATATCATTTTCTTTTATACCTAGAGAAAACTATCTAAAAATACTAGAACTGGCCCTGCAGTTAGTGAATGGTACATACTCCCTTGTGATCCTTCTCCAGAAGGTTCTTTATGGCCATATGGACATGAGGGATTACAATCCCTTCGAGAAAACAGATTGGCATTTCGTTATCCAGCTTCCTTTTGTACTTTTCACTCCTTTACATATTAAATTTGTTAATTTGCATATTAAATTGCTCAGCATTTTCTCATCCAAAGAATCCAGGAGACAGGGCTCCGAGATGCCATTTGGGTAAATGTTTAGAACTTGAACTCATTGCTAGAGCTGAACTTCGGATATTTGAGTAAACATTTTTGGTTGAAAATATTTCAACAAAGGTGGAGTTCTGCCAGTTTTATTAAAACTTGTAGTATGAGAAGTTTCGTGGGTTCAAATGGGACCTTTTTCTGGAGAGACACACAAGTTCTCAAATGACTTGAGAGCTCTCTGGATGGAGAGAAGGTCACTGGGATGAGTGAGAGCAAATTGGGCTAAAGATTTATTCACACTTTGTTCCAGCAAGGGCTCTCCTGCATACCAGCAATGAGGTGCTCTGGAGCAGGGAGTCCCTCAATCACTCCTGTAAAAATCATCCCACCTCAGTAATTTACAAAAGGGATATAATATATTTGGGGAGGAGTAAAAAGAGTTCCTAAACTAGAATTTGTATGCTTTCAATTTTAGAATGTCATTTTTAATGTCATGGGATTTGTGAAAGTTTCCAGAGAAGAAAAAATAAGCTCTATTTTGGGGAATTGGGGGGGTCTTGGTGAGTGACCTTAGAGAAGTTAATGAAGTGAGCTTGGACTCATTCTTTGTGAGAGGACATGAGAATCTTCTAAACCCCTGAGGTGGTTTAGATCAGCATTGGAAAGTTCCTTAACATGCTACATAGGCTACCCCAAAGAGGTAGGAGTTATAGATTCTGTTGAAACCAAATGCTTTGCAGACAGAGAATGTTTTCTCAAACACTCCTAGTTCCACAGTCCTGGGAAGGAAATAGCTCCCAATCTCCCGGAATCTCCCAACTCCAATAGTCTAAGCTCTGCAGTTGGTTGTTGGGAGAGTTGGGGCTCTAACCCCTAGAGCTATGGCTATTAGGTATTTCTTTGGTGGTGTGGGTGCCTCGGTTGTCCTTTGTCACAGTGGTTGGAGCCTTGGTAGGAAGGGAACTTTACTGGCAGAGTGCTTGCAACTGTGCTGAAGTGCTAGGAGCTGGGAGTCAAGAGCATATTCTTTTCCTTCTAGCTATTCACTCTTTCTCAACCAAGGCAAAATTGGTGGCACGTAACAAACTGAACTCAGTATCTTGCTTTCCTGCTTACTCTGCTTTGCTGAAGTTTGACTTTCAGCAAATTCTCTGAAAAAGGCAGGTTTGCTCAGTCACGAAAGGAACAGGGGGCAACTTTTTAACCATCAATGAATAATTCAACCCCAAAGCTTTTCAAGGCTGTCTCCAGATACATGTGAACTCTGTCTGTAATGTTATTAGAACCCAGGAAGCCTTCCTTAGCCTGGAAGCTACTGGAGAGAAAGGATTAAACACCAGAAATAGGAAACTTCAGGTGTCATTTATCACATTTGGAAGAGGCAGTAGCTCTCTATACCAGACTTCAGCATGTCTTAAGTAGCCAAGTAATACCTGTGCTTTCCTCAGTTAATGATTTCCTTTTCAGCTGCCTCTTTTGTGATGAGAAGGGAGGCTGGCTTTGTGAGAAAGGTGCTTTGTTCTATAAAAGCAGGTGTGCTATTCTTTTGCATTGGGGACAGAACACTTCATATGTGGGGGGAACAACTACAAGGTATGAAAGTTTACTTTCTGGTGCCTGTCTCACTGAAAGACTTGCTTGATTTCACTAGCCTTTGAATATTATTAGTTCTATGGGGAACAGGCTGTGTTTGTTTTCTGTTTTTTAAATACTGCACACATTTAGAAGTTTATTAATAAAGACATCCTGCATCCATAAATTATCCCCATGGTTTCAGATGGATACAATTTTTCCCTCACTTCCCTCATCTGTAAGTCTGCATGGTTTGACTGCGTACTATTTAAGCAACTGCTTTATTGCATTTCAGCTGAATGTGACTCATTTGCAGGGGATGGATTTCTAGATATAGCTTGAATACCAGTTCAAATATATCAGATATTTGTGGACAACTCAGAATGAAGACTGCTTTAAAAGCATAAACATCTTTTCCATCCTAATCTTCCTGCCCTTACAGTCCTGGAGGAGTATTCTAGTATAACAAATGATTAGCGGAACAATTCAGATAAACACCTTTCAGCTCTCTTAGTTTATCCCTTAGTCTCCTCTATCTGCTTGCACAGGTGAATGGTACTACATGGCAAGATGGCAATTCAAAAAAGAAATCAGCTGCCCCGAAGGCACAAGTTTATTAGCACATTATTTCAATTATATTGAAAGTAGTCTGATTTGGTCGCATGTCTCTGCAGTTACTTCAGGTTTTCATTTTGAAGTGGCCCATCTAGCTAAACAGACAAAATGTGAAGATATTTCAAAAGTAAATTTGAAAAAAA